AGAACCTTGTGCTGTTTCCATAGGCTTCTGAAAAATACAGACTAAAGCAGGTCTGATCCAGAATGGGGTTCTCAAGACTTCTCCCAGAATTCTGCAAACCTGAGCAGTCAAGGTCCCAGTGCAGCTCAAGACTACTTTCCAGTCTGGGATAGTGGGAGATAATATAGTAAAAAGAGTAAGAGATAAAAAGTCTTCAATACTTTTTCAGATTCAGGCATTTCAGTCCCTGACCCTGTAAGTCTGCTTTATTGTTTCTTTTTTTAAGTTTCATCAATTTGAAACTAGTTTACATAACCATATAATTTGGGAGTACAACTTCACACCTCCACATGTGAATGTGCCTCACTTACCCTCCAACAAAGCTCCACAACCCTGTCATCTTCCCTCCCCAATCCTTCCTCTGGTAACCTGTATATTAGCTATAAAGTATAAGAATTATTCTTGTTGTTAGGCTGGTTTTTTCATTTTGGTTATGCATATTCTACAAATGAGAAAATCTGCTTTACGGGTGGAAGATACTGGGCCTTCTACTAGCTCGGACTTCATTATTTTTCCATGATGTACTGTGCTGTGCTTCATAAAGGATTATTAATTATTATCGCTACTAATTTTTTAAAAGATTTATTTATTTATGCATACAAGAGCTGGGGTGTAGGCCAGAGGTGCAGGTGAGTGAGAGGATTCACTAGAGATAGAATGGGGAGCAGAACAGGTGGACTGACTGAAATACACTGCTGAGGGGAGCAGCGGGGAGACAGAAGAGGTTCACTGCGCCATGTGAGTCAGCTCCCTGGCCGGGGATCGAACTCGTGCTGCAGTGGCTACAGATAACTTCATAGTGCTAAGACTTAACCCCTTGTGCCACCAGGAAAGCCCTAGTTACTAATTCTTGACTAAAAAACCTGAGAGGGTTACAGTTATGCCAATTAATAAGTATATAATTTGGGTACCTGCAGAAAAGCCATGTTTTTTCCTACTTCATTTTACTGGGAATATTATCTCTTCAATATATCATAAAGACTGGTTAATTTCTAAAGTGTTTAAAATGGAAAATGGTTTATAATTATAATGCAAGTCAGTCTTTTAAGCAGATCAGAAAAGGGGGCAGTGGGAAGGGAGAGGAAGAAAACTATGGCTTACAGTTAGTGACTACTTCTAGAAACTATACATTCATATATATGTACTTGGCCAATTAAATAATTATTTAGCCAATGAATGGAAATTATATACTCCCTAGTGCATGTTGCACAAATCACTACCATCAGAATTGCTATGAGAATATTCTAAACTCATCAAATATTTTTATAATGTATAATATACCTTGCTATCACTATTACTAAATGCTTTGGCAATTTTTTTCTTCTTGGTTTTTTTTTTTTAAAGATTTATTCATTTATGCATACAAGAACCAGGGTACAGGCCAGAAGTGTGGGGGGGTAAGAGGATTCACCAGAGACAGAGTGGGAAACAGAATGGGCAGAGACTGAAATACACTGCTGAGGGGAGCAGCGGGCGAGTCAGGAGAGGTCTGCTGCGCCATGTGGGTAGCTCCCTGGCCGGGGATCGAACTCATGCTGCGGTGTCTGTGGACAGCTTCATAGGTTGCATCTTAACCCCTTGCGCCACCAGGGAGGCCCCCATTTTTTTTCTTATTATTCTTTATAAACATTCTTTCACCCTTATGAGGTATCGGTGAATAACAAAAACCCTGGATACTCAACAATTTTGCACTGATCAGCCTTATTAACTTTTATGTGAACTTCTACAAGTAAGGTGTTGTAGAATATATACAGACATAATAAACACATAGTACTTTGTGCAAATCACTGTTCTACATATATAAAAACCCTCAAAACAAGCCTAAGAGGTAGCTACAAGCAGTTTAGGAAAAACACTAGGGGAAAAGGGAGGTCACGTAGTCATTACTCAGCAATGATCAGTTTTTATCTAAAATGTCCACATGCAGTCAGAAAGATAACTAAACAGACAATAAAAAAATTTTTCAGTTTCATATGTACTAATATTGGCTTTCCATCTACAGAAGACAAATTCTGTTCCCAATTCATGTAACCCAAACTTGTTCAAAATTTATTTGCTACTAAGAGTTCAAAAGGAAGAGTAACTATAACACCTTTCTTTTACGCTAGGCACAACTAACCTGTTGGCCTGATGCCTAGGTGCAGTAGGCTCAGTTGGGTCACAAAAGTCTAAATGGCCACTGGATTACGCAGGAAATTATTGGACTTTTCTCTTCTCGTTACTATTACTCAGAAAGTTTCCAGAAATGTTAAAAAAGAAAAATAAAGTGGGAGGAAGGTCAAAAGCTGCCAACTCTTTCCATTTGAAGGAAGAGTGGAGAGACCAAAGGGGGCTGCACCCTTCCTAGGTGTGGAAACCTATATAATAGAGACCTGAAGAACCAACTGGCACAGTTACATGGATTTTGTGAAAAGTGGTTAATTACAGACAAAAAGCACTATTGTGTTTTCACTGTAACTCACATGAAAGCGTGGGACACCCACAGACATGTGTCCTGCCTAAAACTATTTAGAAAATGTGAAAAGTCACAATAGATGTTACCAGTTAAAAAATATTTTTTATAATTTGTCTACTAGCTGTCTGCTTTAGGAAAGATGTGAGAAGACTTAAGTTTACGTGTCCTTTTAGGTTAACTTTGGTAGTCCCTTACTGTTTCTCACTAGATTTGACTCTAACATTCTAATGATATATTCCCCAACTCTCCATTCAACTTCTGTATTATCACCAGTCACCTAACTAATAGAGAACCTTCAACTCTTGGGCTGCCATTAATCACAGGATAAAGTCTAAACTTCTTAGAACTTCATAGTCAACCTTGTTCTTTCTCTAGCTACTCTTCCAAATATGCCACCAACAGGCAGGTGCTCCCTTCACAAACTCTTCCTTCCCTAACCAACGCCTGTGTCTCTACAATGGTCAAACCCCAAACCTAACCTGTGGCTTGGCCTCCGCTGTTGCAGTACTAAATTCCTCAAAATGCCATGCAGTTTCATGCTTCTGTGTGTCCTTGCAGGTTACCACATTTAGCTGGGGAACGCCTCCCCTTCCATCTCTCTTTCTTCTGCCTGATTAGATTCATGGACACTGCACTGTCACCATTGTGAACTGCTTTACTATTTTCTGAGTGACCTTGAACAATTTATTAATTTCACTGAGCCCATTTCTTTATATATAGAATATTAACATTAATTTACTCTCACTAAGAAATAATGAATGTGGAAAAAAAAATCACTTTGTAAAGTTACAGCACTATGTAAGCATTAACAATTTTATCATAAGCTAAAGCAAGCCAGTATTCTAGGTGAATATACTTCAGCTGATCTAAGGACAAGATACATCTCTTGGTTTCCAGTGCCCTCTCCAAGGATGCCTTGCATTTGAACCAACTTTCTGGAACTACTAAGTCCTTGACGTCTATCTGCAAAGGAAAAAATTTTATAGTGATGTCTAGGTCACTTTAAGAAAAGACTTAATGGTAAGTTCCTGAAGGGTAAGGATTGTCCTTTTCCCCCCACCTTCCCTTTCTCCTCTTCACAAGAGTACAGTATTATGCACATATGCAAATACTTAGTAAATGAAAGAGCTGAAAGAATTAGTGAACATAAACAGAACCTATCCTTAGAAAGCTTCCAATCAACCAGAAGGATGTGACAAATTCCATAAGAATCTGGCTTTGTCAAAATGGTAACAAATGTCTTCAGTCATTTAAAATGTGGTAAGAAATTAAATTTCCTGGTTATTTTATTTGGTGATTTGATAGTCTTAGTGACTCATGCTTAACATATGAATGTTTTAACATTGAGTTATTGATATAATCCAATACCTATTTATTTTAATTTATTTATGATTAATTTTATCTATTGCACTAGGCCCTATGAAAGTACAAAGATAAAGGTAATGGACTCTGCCCATAAGATGCTAAACATATAAAAGAAAATTAAATCATTAACACATATAATTAATACCAGGCAGAACGCTGTAATATGTACAGAAGACTCAAAGCTAGTGACAGTAAACGAAGATACCTGAGTTAGGGCCCTGGGCCCATAAAAATTAAAACGGTGTTATTACAAATTGTTGATGGTCCACAGCTTCTATTTTTCAAGAATATCCATTACAAATTAAGAATATCCATTAAAAAATATTTGTTACATTCAATCGCAGGATTTCTGATCATCTCCCTTAATCACATTTAATTATAAAATTAATTATGTTGCTGTCTAAGTGAATAAGCACCCACTGGAAACACATAGTTCAATGCCCTTTAGGTACATGTTACCTCATTTAATTTCCACAATAGCCCTCTGAGGTAAATGAAATTATCCCTATTTTACAGATGCAGAAAACAAGGCATAGGCCTTGGGATTTTTCAAGGTTACGAGGCAGAATTAAAAATATGTAAAGAAGGACTTAGACATAAACGAGTATTGCACAGTGAGCAGACCCCCTCGCCAGGTTGGCTCACGCCTTGCTTTGCACCTTTCATGCCCCCGGGGGGGAGAGGGGAACATCTCCTTCCCTTTCCCGCCAGGGATTCATTTTTCTTTTCCCGATTCCATACCGAACTGTTGATTCTCGTGCACAGCCTCTCAAACGTTCCCACTCCAAAGGACAAGTTGCTATTTAAATCATAGGCAGTTCAGGGTAAATGAGACAGAATCAGATGCCCGGGTAGGCAAAGCTCCGATGGGGTCACGAAATGAAGCCTTCCTGGCTTGCCTCCAAGGGATGGCAGGCGGCGCTCCCCGGGCAGTATCTTCCTGTGACCTCGGGCAGCTCGGGCTCTGCCTTCTGCTCTCGCACCCATCACCCCATCACCCCGCGGCTCTGCCTGCACCACCTCCATCCAGCTCCGACCCAGGGCCAGGCCTGACGCGCCTCCCTCCCCACAGGTCAAGCTCCCGCCCCACTCGCGACGAGCCGGCCCCCCGCCCCGTCCCCTCGCCCCGCGGGTCACTCACGGTTCCAGTACACCGGGTAGCACTCTCCCTGGGTCACGTCCACCTCGTAGAGGCCGCCCCGCACACACACCCGCTCGACGTTCACCAGCTCCTCCATCTCGGGCTCCGGCCCCGCCGCGCGCGGGCAGAAGCCGCAGACGCCGTCCTCATCCTCGTCCTCCGCCGGGGAGGCCGGGCCGCCCGCGGGGTCGCCGTCCGGGTCCTCGGCCTGGGGCTGGCCGCCCGTGGCCTGCAGCAGGGTCCGGAAGGCGAGCTCGATGCGGAGCGAGTCGTAGCCGATGAAGGGCTTCCAGGTCTTCTTGTCCTCCTTGTAGAACCAGCGCACCTCCTCCGGGCCCAGCTCCGTCACCACCTCGTAGCGGTGCCGGGCGGCGGAGCCCCCCGGCCGGGTGCGCTTCCTCTCCCCGGGGCCCCCTCCCGCGGCCCCGCCGCCTCCGGAGTTGGACGCGACCAGCGGCGGCTGCTGCGCCGGGTGCAGCGACGAGGTGCTGCCGGCGCCGCCGCTCTCGCCCTCGCTGTAGTAGCGCAGCGAGGACCCCGACTCGGCCGAGCTGAAGTCATAGTTCTCGTCACTGAGGCAGGGGTCCAGCGCCAGCGGGTGGCCGCGGTCCTCGGCGCTCGGCGCCAAGTGCAGCCCCGGCTCCCCGCGCAGCAGCGCCAGGGGCACCTGGCCGTCGCCGGGGTCCCCGCCGGGCAGGTGATCGAAGCAGCAGACGCCGCCGCCGAACGGGGGCTCCGCGTCCGAGCCCAGCTCCCAGGCGGCGCTGCCGCCCCGGCCGTTAGGCTCCGGGCTCCGCGGGGAACCGCGGCCGGGGTAATTCATGGTGTGGAGACAGCGCCGGCAGTGCGGCCCCGCGCCGAGCCGCGGCCCCCGGCGCTTCCGCCACACATTCAACGCCGCCGCCCACTCCACCCCGAGTTTTTAATCTTTCAAATCCCGACCCCGGCTGCGGCGGCGGCAGCAGCGGCGCCGGCGGCTCCGCCCCCCTCAGGCTCGCGGCCGCCGCAGTCGCGTTCCGCGGCCCGCCCATTGTCGCGCAGCCCGACGTAGGCGGCGCTGGGCGCGCGGCCCCGCCCCCTGGCGGCGCGCGCCGTCCCGGAAGCGCTGTTGCCGCAGGCGCCGTGCGCGAGCCGCGCCCCTCGCGGGTGCCGCTGTGGGGTCAGCTAAGGGCGCTCGGTCACCCTTCGGGTACCTCGAGACCCCTGCGACTCGAGTTCTTGAAACGCGGGTTCGCGCTGGGGGCGTGGCTTACATTCCTCCCCAGCCGGAGCCCGAAATGCTTAAGCTGCTTCTCAGAGGGCCCTAGGGAACTGGATTCTCCTGCCAGGCTGATGTGACCTTAATTAAGTCTTCTTGCGGCAGCAGCTGGACCTTCTCGGTCACCTCGTTCTAGCCCCTCCAGAATGGTGGTCCACGCGAGGTCTGCCACCCCTTGTCCTGGGCATGCTAACGTTGGCGTCCCCGCTCCCTTAGACTCAGGAACCCGAGTCTAAACCACCCTTCTTGTGCTACCTCTATTACTGCTTATCTTTCAGTACTTACATCCTGTTTTCTCAACCTCGTGATGAGGTCCCTAAGGGATACCTAGTCTGTAGGTCTCTCCCACACCTGGATGCACAATTTGATTATAACGAGGCAAATTCAGCCAGGGTGCTTAATCATTAGAACGAGAACGAAAGCCAGAAAACTAGAGTTAGTTTTGCTACCTAACCGCAGAGAAGTCACAATCTCTTTAATCTTGGTTGTCTTATGTAAAATGAAAGTGATTATTTGACCGAATGATCTCTAAAATCTCTTCTATCAATGGAGTTCTGTCACTTTCCGGGTTCCTTACGCATCTCTGATTCTGTAACTGTGGAATAAGGTTGAATACTGGGGCTCCTTTTTGTGTAATTACATATTTTTTTATATTTACATATTTTATTAGCCCACATCACCTTATGGGGTAAATCCAGAGAAAAACAGTCTCCAATTTCTGTATTCTCATGATCAATCTTGTTTGTTTTTTTTTTCACTCTGCTTGTAGGGAATCAGATTTGCAGAGCAGTTTTTCTTGCTCCTGGGATCTAACTTGTCAGAGATAAAGTCATTTAAAGCAGAATCACCTCTAGCTTGTACAGTGCCTTTGTATGAATTTGAAAAAAGGTGTCGCTTCCTGTGGTCAGATACAGTCCACTATTGGGATTCATAACTTGGTAAGCAGAACAGTGTCTGGATTTCTGTCCCAATTTGTGCTCTTTGCTGGGTACTCCTGTGCAGCAAACAACCTGCCCAGTGGGCACTGCAACAACCCATCTTGAAAGCATCTGCAATCAGAGGCCCGACTTGTATTTATACTGTTTTCTTAGTACCTGTTTTTCAATTTCCTCACCAGTCTTTCTATTGACATGAGTTTTGATTTATTTTCTACCTGTGAAAACATTCATTCTACACTGCTTTGATGGTCAGCTATGTGCCTGACACTTCTGTGCTAGGTTCCTATAAAAAAGAGAATGGGAGGGCCTCCCTGGTGGCGCAAGGGGTTAAGTCTCTGCACTATGAAGCTACCCACAGCCACTGCAGCTGGAGTTGGATCCCAGGCCAAGGAGCTAACCCACATGGCAGAGCAGACCTCTTCTGTCTCACCTCTCCTGTATCTCAATAGATCCACCTGTTCTGCTCCCCACTCTGTCTCAGGTGAATCCTCTCACCTACCCCACCGTACCTCTGGCCTACATCCCAGTTTTTGTATGCATAAATAAATAAATCTTTAAAAAAATGAAATAAAGAAAAAGAATGGGAGACATTCAGTTTCTCCTTCAAGGACCTTACAGCCTAGTGGGAGATAGAGACAAGTGAACAGATACATTAAATATAGTGTGAAAAATACTATAAAGGGGGCTTAAAATAAAAGATATCACTTCACTTAAAATAACACTATCCATTTAGGTTTCTGGATGGAACATAACTTGTGTAGCCATCTAGTCAGATTACCTTAGTCAAATTTCAATTGTTAAAGACAATGTCATTCCCATTAATGGATATTATCCTCTGGAAAAAAAAAATACTTCCTATCCTGTATTGAATGAATGTTTCTATTGTCTAATGTTGTTTAAGTTATATTGAGAAGACTGCTTTCTCAGGATCTACTACATAAGGCCACACACTTGTAGGCAGTGTGCTCTTTCTTGAAGAAAATACTGATCCTCACAAATGATGAAAAAACCCACAATCCAGTTGGCAGCAGAAGGGAACCCTAGATTTTCTCTTGAACTTTCTGAGGGGAGATACCAGTATTTATGGAAGTTGAGATTGCTTTTGTCTCCTTGGAAGTGAGCTGGGGTTAGGACAGACCTGTGTAACTGGTCCCACACCAAGAGTGAGTAAAAGATTTTTGAAAGTATAAGATCAAATCTGCTTACCTGCATGTGTTTATTTCCTAGTTATTCCTTAGTCACATCAAGGTAAAGGCCATGAAGCGCCTCTCCTCAATTTTCTTTTCTGTGTAAAAAGCCATCTTTTATCTGATTCTTCCTGCCACTCCTCGCCTACTTTTGCTTTCTACAGCATCTTTCCAAGTCATATAATCCTGACAAGAGAGGGAAGGGGTCCTCTATTGCCGTTCCCACCTCTAGAAGAAGTGTCAGGTAGCTCATCAAGATTCTACATCACTAGAGTCACAACTGACAAAGCAGTAGCTGATCTTCCTGGGTTGTATGTAAAACATTCTATTGTATTTTAATAATTACCCAAGAGTAAGCCTCTTTCACATAAGCCAAATATATATGGTTGAGTCATTTGTGGATAAATGTTGTAAGAACCAGGTGGATGTGAAACCAAGCCTGGGGAGTTCTTATTGGAGTGAGAGAGAAAAAGAGCAAACCCAACCGATTTTTACTGTAAAGGATGGAAGCAGCTCATCTGCACATCCTTGGACCTTCCTTTCCCCATTAGGCACAAGGCAGGGGCTAGGTACCAACAAAGGCCATCCTCCTCTTCCACCTCTCAAGAGTTATATGGTAAAGTATTGTATCAACTTTCTTTGTCTATCTCCCTTAAAGTTTGTCCCCGTTGTTCATTTTTACCTGTATAAGAATATTAAGAATAGCTGTATGCTTTGTAATTTATTCTGAGCCAATAACCCACAACTGCATTTAAAAAGGCTCTGACCAATGTGGATGATGGCATATCTGCTGTATCTTATGTTTGATAAGACATAACTACATACACTACATTTAAAATTTTATTTACTTTTTTTTTTTAGATTTATTTATTTATTTATACAAGCACTGGGTACAGTCAGAAGTGCGGCAGGGTGAGAGAATTCACCAGAGCCAGAGAGGGAAGCAGAGCAGGCAGAAGGACCAAAGTACACTGCTGAGGGGAGCAGCGGGCACGGCAGGAGAGGTCTGCGCGCCATCTGGGACCCTCCTCCGGTGGCAGGGGAGCAGCCGGGGATCGAACCGGTGCTGCAGAGGCTGCGGGCAGCTTCGCAACCCAGCGCTCAACCTCTGCGCCACCGGGGAGACCCTAAAATTTTATTTACTTTTTATTTTTAGGAGTACTATGTACCCAGGTTCTTAAAATGAGAGTGTCTTGGTCTGTTTGGGCTGCTATAAGAAAATAGCATAAAATGACTGGTTTTTAAATATTTGATTCTTGTAGTTCTGAAGGCTTAGAAGTTTAAGGTCCTATACTGACAGATTCTGTGTCTACTGACAGCTTTCTAGTTTATAGACATTCAGCTCTTTCACTGAGACTTCGTATGTTGAAAGGGGCTAGGGAGCTCTGTGAGGTTTTTTTTTTTTTTAAAGATTTATTTATTTATACAAGAACTGGGGTACAGCCCAGATGGCGGGAGGGTGAGAGGATTCACCAGAGACAGAATGGGGAACAGAACAGGCAGACTGACCAAATACACTGCTGAGGGGAGCAGTGGGCGAGACAGGAGAGGTCTGCCTCGCCATGTGGGACCCTCACCGGCCAGCCAGGATCAAACCTGCACTGTGGAGGCTGCGGGCAGCACCTCTGCGGGCAGCCTTACAGTGCGGTGCCCAACTCCCTGCGCCACCAGGGAGGCCCCACTGTGAGGTTTCTTTTATAAAGTCCTCATGATTGAATCACCCTCCAAAGGACCTACTTTGCAACACCATAATCTTGGAAATTGGGATTTCAACATATGCATTGTGGGGGGCCACAGATTATTCAGACTACAGCAGTGATTAACTTCTTTGGCACACAGATTAAATGGAACTATTATTTATTTATTTGTTTATTTATTTTAAAGATCCATTCATTCATGCACACAAGAACTGGGGTACAGGCCAGAGATGTGGGGGGGTGAGACGATTCACCAGAGACAGAGTGGGGAACAGAACAGGCAGATTGACTGAAATATACTGCCAAGGGGAGCAGCTGGCGAGCCAGGAGAGGTCTGCTGTGCCATGTGGATCACCTCCCTGGCTGGGGATCGAACTTGTGCTGCAGAAGCTGCAGATAGCTTCACAGCTTTTGTCTTAATCCCTTGCACCACCAGGGAGGCCCCTAAATTTAGAGTGAAGCAGGGAACATTCATTGAACATACATTAGATGTCTTTTTCAACCATATGTTAGACTCTACAGTGAAGCATTCACAGTTTAAAGGTATATTTAAATAAACCCAGAATGTCAACTTTTTAGTTCCCATGAGAAATATAATTATAATGCCAGAATGACCACAGGAGTCACTTCCCTAAAAAACAGATCAATAGAGGAAGTCAAATCAAAACGTAACTAGGTGAGCAGAAATAACATAGGAATATATAATGAATAAAATCATCCATCCTACTTTTTTTCCAACAAATAATTATTATCTATTATTCTGGTTTGACATTT